CCCATTTTCAGCTTGTACTATCATTTTGCAACAGGCAAAGTCACAGTGTAAAATTACCCAAATGATAGGTGCAGCTTTATTACATTACAATGCTTATAATTATATCTGGAAGATTTATTTAAAGAATCAATAAATTATTTTTAGAGGGACTTAAAAGAATGCTTGTAAGAGAGGTATATTAAAGCAAATCAGCAGTAGAGTGGGATAGGATTAGGTGACTTGTAGAGAAAAACACTAATACAACACAATTTTAATTTGCATAGGGCCTCTCACGTCAGGAGGACGTCCCAAAGCGCTGGAATGTCCGAGATTTGCACCCGAGCTAGGGGTGGTGGCTGAGTAGGGAGAGAAGGAAAGATGGCTGAAAGCATGGACTGATGGAGAGGTAGATTCTGCCTCTAGTTTCACTTGCTGCCTCCCTGTGGAAGTGTGCCAGCCTGTGCTGAGCTCAGGAAGGACTTGGGCATTACTCCACAGGAGTTCCCTACATACCTTAGGAAACGTTACCACCTATCAACCTTTTATAGATGTGAATCCTTATGCTGCCAGCCATCATCAGAGCAACAACTTGCATTTATATAGCACACTTCACGTAGGACAGTTCATAGTGCTGTACAGAAGCAGGTATGGACACCAAGCAAGGGAGGAGGAGGTGACCGTAGGTGGGATCTTCAGGTGGAATTTAGCATGTTGCATTAATGCACATAAGTTCTACGTTGAATTTGTACTTTTCTCCAAATGCAAGAAATGTCACACCAGTTTATTTGCTTGCAATCTTGATTTATGTATCTTTTATGATTATGCTGGCCCACCTGTGGAATGTCTGGATTGTAATTTTATAATTTTAATATTTTACATTATGAAAAAATGGAACCCTCAATTAATTCTGCTCAGTGATAAATCTCATGATTGAAAGCCTGATGGAGAATATTCCATTATTTTATTCAATTTAGCACAACAATATTAAATACCAGTCTGTTTTCTATAGAACGCACAGAGTACCATTATCAGGCCTGGCTTTTACTGAGCCACTTTTGGCACTCGGGTTTAAAATTATACATCTTTAGAAAATAGTTCAGAACAGTTCTTTTGGCAGTTTATGTCATGTGAACCCGGCTTTAATGCAGATTGCCTTTGAAAAAAGACAGTTCCTGAATTAGTCTGATAAGATTAGAATGCAGGAACGGAAAACCACCTTTTGATATGATAATGCTGTACAAAATCCAGCTGCTGTACTTGAAAAGCCATTTCCGATTGAGGAAAACGCTATTCTGATGGGAAAATGATTTCTCTTTTGAACAATGGTATCGGTTAATTGCTGAAAGAATTATTGTGAAGCACGGCTTCATAAATAACTGCTCACTGATGTACACTTTAGCCTTGGAGTGATGAGACCACTGTATGCAGAGATGAACATTAATAAATCAGAATCAGATGCTAAAATCTGACAGCAGCTTTAATCCGCTGAATGAACAGAGGAACTCTGGCAAAATCAACAATGTATCAATGTTCTTCATTAAACTGCTGCAGAGGAGAAAAGCGATTCTGTTCTGCCTCCACAGTAGAAATTCGATGTGCTTTTTTGTTTCCAGTCAACTACAAAGGTTAGGAATAATTCAGAATTTCAATGAGTAATTTTACCAAACCAAATTGTGTTTTTGCACAGTCGCTGCTCTGATGTTTAAATTCATTTTCATGCTGAAATGTAGTGGGAAATCTTTTCCCTGCATTACCATCTGACTTGCCTTTCTGAATAAATGTTCCAGTTACCGTAACAAGTAATAAAGGGGCAGAACAAAAATGCGAAGCATGCTCGAAGTCAAATAATAATGTTTCTTTGAGATTGAATTTACCAAACCAGCCTCAAAAAGAAATGGGAGAAAAGTCCAAAGTTAATTCAGAAAGAAGCTAAAATAGCTGATTTGGCAATGTGGGTGTGTGATGGACTGGTTTGCACCCTCGCACAGATGGTTCCTGGGCTCCAACATGAGGAAGGAAATCTTTCCACATAGTGGAGGGGAGAACAGATGACAGTTAAGGAATACTCTCTTCCTGCAGAGCAAACTATAGTATAATGATTTCGTCACCTCAGCTAAAATATGCCAACTCACCACATGCCACCTGGGATCTTCTTGGTCTGTGTAGAGTAGCACACCAGGCATTCCGTTTACCCGCTGAGCTACTGAGTAACCACCTTGCACTTGTACCCTTACTGTAAGGTCTAACCATATCGTGGCTCTCAAATTCACCTTCAAATGGGTCAACCAAGACACTTCTCAGGGGCAGTGGCCACAAAAATACTACAGTGGGATGCAGGTGGGAAAATGACTTTCTGTCACTCACACCAACCTGCTGATCAGTACCAAAGCCATTTAAGTGGAGTTGCTGAATGTCAAAGTAATATTTGACATCAAGAAAATCTCCCTTTGGCTGGAGATATACTATAAAATCTGCAAATTTCCTTCAAGTCACCAAACGAAAGGATCTGGTCCCTTTTTAAGCTCACTCCACTGCCTATGATCAGCCATCTGTCAACCAATCTGACCATCTGGTCTAATATGCTTCAAATCCTTTTGTCAGTCTTACTGATTACCAAAATGAGCTGTTTTCCTCTGGGAGGAATTTAAAGCCTCTTCTCCCCCCCTCCCCTTTCTCCTGCTGTTTGAGTGATGATGATAATAAAGAATTTTATATACTTCAATTGTGCAAACATGGTGCAGCAGCAGTTGAGTTTCATATTGTGTGGAATTCAGAGAGTAATGAATTGTAAAACAACCTGAATAGATTATAGCACAGAGTACAATCAATCCCCACATCACTCTGGTATGCATTTTTGCCCTTTACCAGTATGTCAGTAGTCAACTAAATTTTTAATTCCAATAGCAAATCTGTATTTTTGCTCATTACCTTTTCTTAGGATTATGTTGGATGAATGAAGGTTTTAATCTTTCTTTTACAACCTATAACTGCTCGTATCAAGCATTTTTCATTTGTTCAAGTGTTATTTTTTTACTAGAACAAGTGAACTATGGCATTTGTTGTCAATATATTTAACAATTGCTTCAAGTAAAATTAGCTGCATATCAGAACAACAACAACAAAATTACATTTCTATAGAGCCTTTCACGTCAGGAGGACACCCCAAGGTGCTGCACAATCAGTGTTTCGGACCCGAGCTGGGCAATGAGATCAGAGAGGATGGGGAGGAAGGAGGGTGACCAAAGGCACGGTCGAAGAGGAGGGTCTTGAGACGGGTCTTGAAGGAGACAAGGGAGGGGGCTTTTGAAACATTCAAACAGAATCGGAAGAACAGTGAACTTCTGTAGGAAAATGCTGTACCTAAAAGATATCTGTTCCACCAAACAATTTCAGAATCGTTAATGTTGTGGAGAGAGTTATCAAAAATATTCGTACCTCTCAGGACCCTGTGTTCGTCTGTTGCACTTTAAAATTGCTAAGAGAGGCAGTGCTCTCATTTAAATGTCTCTCTGTTGAGACATCATGAAGTTCTGCTCTACTGAGTGCACGAATAAGAATGTTGGTAATTAGATACCAACTTCAAACACAAAATCATATCAGAGAAGGTGATTTTGACATTTTTCTCTCTCTACTTTTCTTAGGTTGCTGTCTCTTGCATAGGAAATACCGGTGATCCTCTGGCTGATCCAAAAGTTATCACATAGTTATCTGTAAATAAGCAAACTAACAATGAAATAATCTTATTTTCTCCCTCTTTGTCATTGGATTGTTTGCCAATGTGACAGCATTCTTCTGGTTTCCCTAACAACAGGTTCTGACCATTGAGTGCGTGCAGCAGAGCCAGAGCTGTTCTTACCCAACTTCCACACAGAAGTGGAGGACATTATTTCAGCAGTAGGCACCCGGGTCTATTTTCTTTCCACTGTGTCTACCCTCTCCCCCAGGCTGGGATTAACAAAGCCATTTAAGCACCTGTGATAAGAGCACGCTCAGCACAGACTATAAATCAAACCTGCACCCTTCTAACACTACACCTGCTAAAATGGGCCCTTTTCCACACAAGTCATCAGAAGGACCCAGTGACAGTTTATTAGCGATGTCTGCTCTCTAATTACCTCTGATCAGCAATTTGAAACAATTCGCAGAAAAATGTGCATCTTCCACAATTCCAATTATCTTTACAATGAAATGACACTCTCGTTTTGCAGGTGGTTTCCATGGTTTGCCTTTCCAGACAAGGTGTGAGTGTCAGCAATTCTATGTCTCTTGCAGATTTTTTTGTTGGTTTCTTCCTTGCTGTCTTGACTCACTTTGAAACGTAAGGGTTGATTTGCTGCTGCATTCTTTTGCTGCTGTTTCTGCAGCCACTAGAGAGTATAAAACAGTCTTGCTTTGTTGAAACTAACAAAGAATTCACTTTGTTCAGAAAGAGTCAGGCCCTCATCCTTATTTCCAATGCCTTTATTCTTTCTTCCTAGTGCCTTGATGGGTACTTGTTTGATGGGTGCCACTGTTAGTTTGTTTTTCTGTGATTTAAGATGCTGTTACTGTCCTGAATTAATCAGAATAATAAACTACACTTGTTAATTCCACAATCAAATGCTGGTTTGGAAAATCCACCCATATAATTACGCAACCAGAAATAGCCCTCATTTCAGTTACAAATGTGAATGAGTGTGCTACTTGACACATATCAAAGCCATTAATGTAAATTAGTTTGTTCTAGCTTTTGTCATTTTAAAGATTAAATAAGCAAGGAGATGAAGAACAGGACTGAATTGATGATATGATTGATCAGATTTACTGTAACTGGGCTATATGTGCCACTATAACTCACTGTTTTAATATAATTGTCTACTTTTATTTTTGTTCATGCAAAATTAAGAAATATTCTTATATTTTCAGTTGTTGTATTGGCTATTTCATTTTAAGCAAAAATATGGTTACAAATCCTAAAATTGCAGTGTATATGGCCTCCCCAAAGCAGTTCTCAAATGTACTCATTATTTCTTTCCCTGCAGATAGGCCTGAAAACTGGGACACTTGGTACGAGAACAAGTTCGATGACTGTGGGAAGGAGGCCTGCCTGTCGTTTTCGAAAGACGTGTTGTGTTCCCGTGTTACAGCAGACCACAACTATTATGCCATCTGTCAGAACCTGCTCTCCAGGTACGCCACCTGGCGTGGCACAACCGGAGGACTTCTGCATGATCCACCTTCAGAAATTATCAAGGATGGCAGGTTGGAGGCTTTAGTAGAAGAGTGTGCTAACCCGAAGAGGGAGTATGGTCGATTCCAGGCAGCCAGAGAATTGCGGGAGTACCTCGCAAAAGTGAACAATCGTGTAAGGTAGCTGCAACCTGGCTTGTTTTCTCCATACAGATGTAGAATGCAGCTTGACGTTGCGGCTGAGTTGAACATGAGAATTGTTAGAATGTAAAATAATCTCGAACTAAACTACACGGATGTGGTACTGTATGCCATGACAGTTGGTTGAATTGCAATCCTCCACGCTTGGAATGACAATGGACATCTGCAAACAAATATGTTACTGATTAGAGTTTGAGCTATTATTGACTTCATCTCTGATTGCCTGACGGGTAGGTCACTGAAGATTAAGGTGGCTGGCGATAATGGACTGTGACAGGCTTATTGATTCCACACGTTCAAAGGGCAATTGACATAACATGGCATTAGCATTACAGTTTGTGAGGATGATGCCTTTAGTAAGGAAATGTTGCATAACTTGAGAGCCTGTTTAAAGGCTTTAACTTACTGATGTATTGTGTTTCTATATTTTGAATAAGGAAAACATTAAAAAAGTTTGCTAAAAATAATGTACTGCCGTCAAATCAAACATGTAACTTTTGATAATCTTTTCCCATACTGTGTTTCACATACGTGAACATGTTTCCAATTTGTTATTTGTTACCCGAAGCACTGAGAAAACATGGCATTAGGTTTACACTGTCCAAAACCTTAAACCACTTCCTTGTCAGTGTTAAACAATAATTTCACGTTCTTCAAAGGGGCGGAAAAAGACCATTATTTTTATTAAGTAACACATCTGAGTGCAATAGTGGACCTGAAGTTAATTTATTTCAATGCAACACAAAAAAAAGCTGCGATAATCATTCTGGATATGTGGGTTGTTATTTCTATAAAATCAGGTTCACTATTTTACTGGGATTTCTTAAGCCTCCTTTGGGAGGAGTTGGACATGCAAATTCTAGCATTTGAGCATATACCAAAGAATAATTATGGTTAGACATTTGCCCTTATCTTGGTAGAATCAAAACCTATTTATTATTCTAACCACACTCAGCCTACAACAAGGAGCTATCTAATATTAAAATGAAATGCCTAACACTGGGGTAAGGTTTTTGGTCATAAGTTTACATTTGCCACATGTACAGGACTGGTTATATTTTTCATTGGACTTTTTTTTCAGTTGCTTCAGTTGCTCCCTCCTATGTATTATATGTTGGTACTGTATCGTATGTTGAAGTCAGGCTAGGGTAATGTCCTCTCTCCCCAACCGGTTTTAGACCCCAAATACATTCATTTGTTTCCGTTTCAAACTAAATTGGCGTGTGTGTGCGAGCGTTTGGCACATTAAACAAAAAGCTAGCTGTTTGTGTGGAAATGGAGTGGAAAATCTGCTTTTGCTGCTGATTAGCTGAATCGCAGCTGCATTGCCATTGGCAACTCCTTCATGCTTGTGGCTCAACCTGGATAAATGTTAAGATGTTCCCCCATCAAGTAATTTTGTGGCTTTAATCTCCATTTAAATCACGCTGATGCTTTTAATTCTAAAACTAGCTTGGACGGGTTTAATTGAAGGGGAGGAAATGCTGCGACAACACAACTAAGTAGTAGAAAGCAATAGTGTATCTCCTTTCCTTTTTAATTTATCAGAAGCTGACATGAGCAATGATCTGTTTATTGGTACAATGGTTCTGTAATTTCTACTGTATATTAGAACTTGTTAGTGATAATCCAGTGTTCTCCACAGATATTCCAAATAGGATTTTTGGAGGTTTGTATATGCTGGGAAATTGCTATCTGGCTTTTTTTTGTAAGTTTTCATTTACTTTTGACATTTATCAAAACTGTCTAACTCACTGTGCCTTTCATTCAAAAGTTGTCTCTACAACTTAAAGTGGATTCATATAATAAAACTTTACTTATTAATGTTCTTTGTGGCTTTATTTTAATGTTTCGGACATCAACTTTCTTCCCTGTCTGCTCCTAGGCTCCAGCTAATTTAGTGTACATCCAATAGGAGGAAGCAATGAAGTGCAGTTTGAGGTACAACCTTAGCAGTGTTTTACAACCCGAGCTGAATTTTTGTTTTAGAACAATACAGTAGAAACCCGCTTTGCGGTCACTTCAGTAATCCAGCCACCTCACAATTGTGGGCACATTTTACAGTCTTGTTCATTGTCTATGTTAAAAGATAGGCTGTCTGCTTCAGTAAACCGACCACCTCACGATTGATGATGACGGTCATTGATTGTGGCCTCAACAAGCGCCCTCCTCCGCTTCAAACATAGTACAAACACCCCCCTCTGATACTAACCTGTACATAGTGGGCTAGGCCTCGGGCCGCTCGCGCTGTTTGGTCGATGCTGCTACTGTGGGCCAAGTCAGTTCCTCGTGCATGCATGGACGAGAGTAGTGTTGGGATTGCGGAAGCGGCTCGAGCGGAAAATCGACTTGGCCTGGCACCCGCAGCCTAAACTGAGCTCCTGTGGAGGAGTTTCTACCAGGGACACTGAGGAACAGGATACACAAGAAGAGCAACCGACAACATCAAAGACTCCTCTCACTTATGCTGATGCACTAGGTTTGTTGGAACAAGTGAAGGACTTTGCCTCGATCATGGAATCAACGTGTGGCAGGCTTTCGCTGATGCTGAGGGTCAGCTGCAGGCCAAGGCAGTGCAAGTTAAATTAGCAGCCAGACAAACAACACTGGACTCTTTCTTCAAGAAATTAACATTTTAACTTCTCATGTGAACTTCAAATAATGAAACCTAAGATCTGTTTTAAATGTGACAATGCCTTTATTTTATTGAGATTGCAAAGTATGGTTGTTGAATGTTCATCCAATGTAATTTTAAAGGTCACTATTATGTTCATTCTTCGTAAACCTGTTTCAGTAATCTGGTCACCTCACTAAGTAGATCACTTTTGTTTTATTACTTGAATGACCAGATTATTTTCAATTCATTTTCAATCTACGACTGTTTGTGGGACATTGCTGTGCGCAATTGGCTGCCGCGTTCGCCCACAAATATACAGTCAATTCACTTTACAGTCTATTCTGTGAAGCGCTTTGGGACGTCCTCCCGACGTGAAAAGCGCTATATCAAATGCAAGGATTATTATTATTATTATTATTATTATTAGTGAGGTTCTACTGGATTTCTGTCTATGTTGGCAACACCCTTGTGTTCTAACGTCAAGCAGTCACCCCACAGGTTAAATCAGTATATCTGTCATTTGAACTTGTATTTTCTAGCCCACAGTATTGCTGCATTGTCCTACTAAGCTAATAATAATAATAATAAATAATAATCCTTGCATTTGATATAGCGCTTTTCACGTCGGGAGGACGTCCCAAAGCGCTTCACAGAACACACTGTAAAGTGAATTGACTGTATATTTGTGGGCGAACGCGGCAGCCAATTGCGCACAGCAATGTCCCACAAACAGTCGTACATGGAAAATGACCAATTTAATTATTGTTTTTGGTTTTTTGGAGGGATTATTATTAGGCGTGTGGAGTAAGGAAACTTGCCCAAGGTTTCGCCCTGCCTGGAATTGAACTCAGGTCTCTCACTTGCAAAGCGAGTGCTCTAACCACTGAGCTACAGGACTCCACTAATAGTGTCACCTTCACACTTCCCATTTAGGGTCTAGTTTCCCAGGCGTGGATCACCCTAAAATGCCTTGTGCAAGTGGCTAATATTCATTTGCAAGCTCAATGAATGTTAGCCTTTTTTTAAAAAAAACGATCCTTCCTTGCCGGGTGTCCACCAACTTGTTGGAATAGTGATCAGGAGCTCTAACCCTGACTAATTTTACAGTCTCCTTACCTAGGAATGTTAAGAAGCATTGTTATGCTTCTACTAATACCCTGGCTCAGATTAGTTAACTCACCGCAGGCCATGATACAAACCTGTTCCACCCTTTGGAACTCCATTCCACAATCCTTTTGTCTTGCTCCCTCCCTTGCCTCCATCAAAGCATATCTCAAGACCCTCCTCTTCGACTGCACATTCGCTCACAACGTGTTTGATGACCAATAAAGTGATGCACCTCATCACTCAATCAATGCATTTTAATACAGTATTCCAGCCATGTAGTTCACAAACTCAAGGTACGAGTTGTTCCTGTGATGTTTTCTACATAGTAAGAATTCATTCTACAGTAGACGATGAGATTCCCTTTTGCTTTCTGGGTTAGCTGTTTTGCGCAACTTAACGGAATAGACCTATAGTCAATAAAACAAGGCATCACTTGCCTTCTACCACATGAAAGGGTTTGATAGGGCAGTTGTCTTGTGCCCTTTCCAGCTAATTCACTCTTCCGCCAACACTCTTGTACGCCTTACCTGCAAGATTTTACTAATTGCCTAAGTTTGAAAATGCATAACAGTGATTAAATAAATAAGTATTGCTTCTATGTTACTCCAATTAAGTGCTTTTGAATGAATCAGAGATTTTAGCAGTTATTTTTGTGAACTTAAAATTCCAGAGTCTGCATTCGAACATACATAAGTTTATAAATAATAATCCTTGGATTTGATATCACGCCTTATTACATTGAGAGGTCTCAACGCCCTTCACAGGATATTCTGTAAAGTGTATTTTGTGGGCGAACCCGGCAGACACATTGCACACAGCAATGTCCCCAAACAGCCATGGATTAACTAAACAATTTTATCTTGGGGATTGTTGATCAAGACACCCTATTCTCTTTGAATTGTGCCACAGGATCTTTAACATCCACCTGAACACGCAGACGTGATCTCGGTTTAACATCTCATGTGAAGGAATTAACTCAAACATTGCAACACACCCCAACACTATACTGGCATCTCAACATGGAACTATATGGATTCCAAGTTCTGACTTGGGGCTTGAATCCACACCTTCTGACTGCATTCTCTTCTGCTTGTTCGGTTGCTGAATGGCCTCTGCACTCACAGAAATGCACCTCCACTTCTATAACTGCACTGACTATAATGCTATGATGGATGACTATTTTCCATCAAATGCCTTGCTTAGCTTTTAAAGAAAAAAAATGTCGCTATGTGTGTACTATCTCCCAAATACAATTTATTCCCTGAGGCACCGGTACAGACACACTTTAAATGGGTTACAGAAATGTCACCAATTGTCACTGCTGTTGAGCATGGTAGTGTACCAACAGTACAGGAGCACTGACTTTTACCACTTATGCTGCGTGTTAACTCAAACGCATCTAAACCTCTCTCACTGGTTAGATACAAACCCCAGTGAAGCAGATGATGGAGGAGCTTATTACATCGACTTTAGGTTTCACTGTCATCTTGCTGTCTCAGCCACTGCATTAATAAAGACTGAACATCTCAGGAGATTGTGGAGGGATGGGGGGGGTTAGAGTCTGAAAACAAAATCCGCCTAATAGTGCTGCGGATTTACTTTAGCACAGAGGCAATGATTAACTAGCAACTTTTCAGTAAACTTTGCAGAAGTGCTGGTGTCATGAAATAAATTCAGTGGCAAAAAAACACTGGTGTTCCAAACACCTTTACTGTAAATACAATCTACAACAGTTAAGTGGTCTTGGCACACAAGTACAGGAAGAGATTACAACTCTGTGAAATTAGAAATGAGGGCAGGTGGCAGCAAAATGGATTTTATGCACAACTGCACCTAATCTCCACTTCTCATTAGCGCTGTTGTGAACTGTAATAGACTACACTTTCATTTTAAGGCAGTTTTATCATCTTTTAAATATAAGGAAACCTTATTGAATTTGAAGACTGAGTGGATTCGCTGTTCTCCGGCCCATCGTCTCGCAAAAAGGTTCCTTTTACACTCCACTGCATCTTCTACGCTTCGTGAATAGCATTTATCTGTTGCCAAGTGTGTGCCTGCTCCTGTAGACTCATTCAATTGATGAGGCGTGAGGGTAGGAGGTGCTCCTGTCCTGTGATTACAATGTGCATTACTTTACTGGGCTCAAAGATATGCTCCATATCTTTGGTAATGTTTTTAACACCAGGTGATAGCATTTTGATAGGCAAACCGTTAATGATCATTAAAGAATCAGGCCCTGTGCAGTGTTCTGTGGGCCTAACAACATCATCTTCTCTCAGATTCACAGAGCCTGTTATTGTAATGTTGCCAATGTTTTGCTCTTTTTTTTCTTCAAATGTGCATCCACTACATTCTGCAGATAAAATCATTAGCGTTCTTAAAACACTTGCAATTACATACAAAACTAGTTTATGGCAATATTTTTACTCCACACAAGACTCCACACATTCTAATCTCTCTCTCTAGTCACCCTGCACATTGCTCTATTCCCTTCCCTCTCTTGTATGCAATACAGTATGACTGCCATGTCTCATTAAGCATCCTTTTACTCTGGAGGGATGTGAAAGATACTTTCATTCAAAGAACACGCAAGCCTTTACCAGGCAGACAATTTTGCTCTTCAACTAAACAAGTGTAATGGTGAAGCAGTGTACGCTGATAGAATACACCGATTGTATCTGGGATTTGATCAAGGAACACAATTTTTTTTATATAAATCCTGAAAGATTTATCGCAGTCTGCTCAGCTGAAATATAAATCTGTTTTTTGTATTGTTTTTCATTGGCACAGAGCCACCATTTCCATGAATAATTCCTCAAATTCCTTTGTAGAAATGAGAGGTGGGCTTTAATAAACTGCTCCAGTGACTGCTGTACTGGAGAGCGCTGAAAGAAATTGAATGAGAGTGCACACGACAATACTTCTTTGAGCTTTGTACAGGTCTTCTCTGTGGTCAGTCCAAATTACCTTCAAAGTGTTGAAGTCAAATCTACTACCATTCCCTTCTTCCTATAACAATCTTATATCCCATTCTTAATGGAGTTCCCTGGTAGCTCTTAATTGAGCACTGATCTTAGGATCAAAACAGTTGTGGTTTCACATCTC